TTTTTATCTCTTTAGCCAGTATTTCTTTTTCATCAGTGGAAAAATTGTGGGGCCTATTTGGTTAGTCACAACTCGTGATTTTGGTAGAAAACCTGTATGAATAAGTATCTGCGTTGCTTTTTGATGACGAAATTTAGACTGTATCTTGAATTGCTGGCATTAAATAAAAACTTCTTAACATTCACTGCCTTTTGCATTTTTATTAGAAAGAAAAAAGCCTTCTGCGTTTTCGAAATCAACAAAAAACTTTTCCTGGGCAAAGGATAAGGCACACAAAGCAGAAAATTGTCTTCTTCCGAACCGTTGTCTTCTGTTTTGAGTTTTGAAAATCTTTTCCTTTTTTTTAAATTTTGCGCCACTACGACTCGTTCGACTGCCAAGATCATCAGTTTTTGGGAATTTCCCTCTGCGGATCAGCGGATCAAATCAGAAAACTTGCTCGTTATAATAAACATTTGATTACTACCAGTTATTTTCAGATGCTACTAACACTTGACTAGCACAAATGATAAATATTACACCCAAAAAAGTTCCTTCGCACGTTTTTGAAGAGTCAAATGCAGCCATGCTCATGCAGAAGTAGAATAAAAGAGGAAACTTGATAAGGAAAGCAGTGCTCTAAAAAGTCTGCAAACCTTCAAAATTCTTAACTTTAGCGTCCTGCTTCCCCAACGTGTTGTTGCTGACTACGATCTGTAGTCGCCAATCCCCACTTGAAACTCTGATTATATCTGGTACCTCTCAAAGAGTTCTCGTCTAAAGAGCGTTTAATGACCGTCGGCTTCACGCTCTACCACAGTGTCTTCGCTAACAGTTGTGACAGTTGTGTAAGCAAATTATAGTTTTCCAACCGCGCTTTTGTTTTATGTTTTTCTCCTATTGTCAAAGCCAAATTATTTAGTTTTGACGAAATGCATTTTCTTGACGAACCATAGAGCAAAAAACCAAAAAAAACTGTAACTCGGCTGATGTTAGATTGAAATATTGGTCCAAGAATTGCCCTTACAATATCGTCATTATCCATAAACAAAAATTGAACACTTCTGCGTTTCCTGAAATACGGACAACCAAAATCAAAAAAAAGCGAAAATATTGTACTTCTAGCTCTGCTGACAGAAGATGGTCAACAATAAGACTGCAATCCAAGCCATTTTTCTGCACGTTTGGTTGATAGCCATAAGCCGTGTTTTTTTGATGTACAACGCTGAGGCCGAACAGCTTCTGATTTCAGTAATTGACGGTTTGCTTACTGTTAATTAAAAATAAATTTTATGATCCTCTCTGAAACAAGGCTGTACTTTTACACAATTTATTAACTGCAAGAATTTGGCTTTTAAGATTACCAGTACTGCTTAAGATTTTCTGCAACACTTGATTTCGTTTTTCTAAAGATTTAGAAAACTGAAAATTGTGTAATTTAAGGTCATGTAGTAACTTTTGGATCTCGAGTAAAGCGCTTATTAAATTTTTATGGTAAAAATTTAATAGTTTGTACCAGTTTCTTTGAAAATATGCTTTTTTTGTAAATTGCTCGGCAGTTTTGGCTCTTTCAACGGAATCCATGATGCTGTGAAAGAGCCAAAGTGCATATGCACTTGAGTTTGTTGATTTCAGGTGACTATAAACTGTTGGTTGTGCAACTTAGTAGTGCTGAGAAACCAGCAAAAGAGAGAAACTCCTTTACTGAGTCTAGTCAGATAAAAATTCAATAACTAATAATATAAAGAAAATGAAGACTTATTTTTGTTCATAATAATAATAAGAAATATGAATTGAAATAGCCCAGAGTCAGCTTGGGCTAAATGGCAGTAGAGTAGAATTGAACAGTCTCAAAGGAACAAAAAATGTGGAATGAGAGACTGAGTCAATAAATGAATAAGTACTGTTGGTAAACGACAGGTACATATATAGTTTAGAGCGCACTCCAGACAAAGCAGTGGCCGCCTGATTTAAGACTGCATTAGTATCAAGAGTACGCACACTTCAGTTAAAAAGACTAATACCTAACACTCCCTCACTGCATAGGTGACTTACAAAGGCACGGCAGATGTGCCAAAACAATAATGCAACCTCTCATTGCTTGAGCCTGGAAGAAAGTAAAACAAAAAAAAGGCCAACCTTCAAAAATGTCCCCGAATTAGCGAACAGAGAGTTAAAGTTAAAAAAGTAAAGAAATGATACAGTAGCCAAAACAGAGGCAACGATTAGGGAGCAAAACTCAAGAGCTAATTTGTGAGAAATTTTACTCGGCTACGTTACAAATCTTTAAACGCTCTTTATTCTTCCAGGTCTCTTTGGCTTCTGCATATTTCTCTTTTCTGCAACAGTAAGACAGTCTGGAATTCCTTGCCCTCTTGTTTGGGTCCTCTTCGTCTGAAAATATGCGTGTCGCGACTACCGACCGTTTCTTTACTTGGAGAGTTGATCACAACTTGTCTACAGCGTCCTTACGGGAACTGAACTTCTACAGTTTTAAACCGCAAGCAGTCGTAGTCACCGACGCTTGCAGCAATATACTTAAGTTGAAGATTGTATCTAATTATGCTAACGTAGGGTGGTAACGTTGTCAAACGCTTTAATATTTTAGATAATTCTTTATTTGTTAAAACCTTCAATTATTCCAAGTAGGTGAATAACGTAGCTTTGGTAATACAAAGTACAAGGAAAGATCGCTGAGCACTTGCTTACTGACCTAACCCTAACAATGTACAATATATTTAACTCATTGATGGAAAGGTAAGACTGCCCACTGGCCCTTAGTACTACCCTATTACAAAGAATTATCATAAGACACAATAAACAAATAAACTTTAACTCGAAGAAAATATAAATTAACAAACTTTAACCAAATGAAATTGAAACAAACTTTGAACTAGAAATTTTAATTGAAGTACAAGATAAGAGGCAATCAATGTTCACAATCGTTGTCACAAAAGACAATGAGAGGAAGAAGAGTAGATCTTGAATGTAGAATCAACACTGACTGACACCGAACTCCGATACTACACTCTCGCTGTTACCCTGCCCTTTTTATACTCATCGCTGTCGTAATGATCTATCCACCATAGCCTCCAAGAGCTTCTCCTCAGGGCCATGTCTGGGTCGTCACAGTCTGCTGCCTGCTTCAAGCAATTTCGCGTGCCTTCTCGACAATGCGCTACTATGCGTTTTTTGTGTTTCAGGAAGGCTTTTTGTCCTCCCAGGACATCCATTCCAAAAAATGCTCATGTTTGTTTGAAAGCTGTAGAAACAAGGATACTCGGTCGTATTGTTTGATGAGGTGGATTTTTCAAGTTTAGCATCTTTTCTCCCGCTCGTTTCTTTTTTCTAGGTGCATGTAGAAGGAAGTTTGTCGTATTCTGCCGCGCCATGTCCATAACGCGAGGAACTCCTACACGCTCCTGTAGGAAAAAATACTAGCAAAAAAAAGACACTCAACTTGAAAAATCGGACCTCTTGCACTTCGACTTCTCCAGCTTGCTGAATGGTTAATTGCTTTTTGGTGGGGAAATTGAAAAAGAGGGCATTTAACGGGATAGCTGCAAAGGAAAGGGGAGAACAGCGGCGGCACAGCAAGGCCGAGCGACACGCCTCTTTGAGGTCTCTCTTCAAAGTATATTTATGAGGTCGTCAAAGTACAAGAGCTTTGAAGAAGTAGAAATATATAAGCATAAAGCCCTCGGAACAAAAACCTGCATTTTTGACCTTATGGCCAGCATTTGTAAATAGTTTATTAGGAAACAGTAATAATGTAACCTAGATTGCACGATTCAAAACTTCCTCGAAAACAGTTTGCCACATATAGTATTAGGCTGTGTGCTGTGCGTCCATTAAGCTTTTACAGTTATTATTAAATTAACTTTTATTGTACTGATGCCTACCGTCCAAAGATGAAGTTAAAATATCATTTCTAGTTATTAAGTTCCTCCTTACGTGTTTTTGATAGGATCTTAACTGTTAAGATAAACAAAAATTATTACTATTATAGCGATTGCTGTCTACTTTTTGTTTTATCTTGAAAATATACTGTATTCTGCAGCAGTTCCCTTTTTTTTTTACAGACCCGGAGGTTTTAAGATTCGGCCATGTTTCAAAGAATGAATATTTTGAACTGGTCGTTCCGAGCGGAAACTACTTGCTTATCGGGGCGAGGTAATCTTATGCTTTTTGCGAAAAAACAAGTACTTTTAGCAAAAACAGCGTATTATATAAAGTTGCAATATTGAAGAAAACATGTACATAGAAAAGCATGTTCTGGGCTCTGCAGAATGTTACAGAAACAATTTGAAAGTTTGTATTTGCACAGTGCTACTGTGTACTGTTTTTCTACTTATAAATAAATTTAGGCCTTTTATTCATATAACTTTCTTGCGAAACATCATTAGTGCTGTTACTTTGGAGGCATATTTATTCATGCCATGAGTCTCAAGTAGTTATATAAAGATAATTGTAGGATTACCTATATATTTGCAAATTGCTCTTCTACTTCTGCACACGTCTATCGAAAACGTTTTTACTTACGCAACTGCGTGTGGTAAATACAATTTTTTCACGTTCTTTTAGTTTTACGCATTATTTTGCTGGCCAACGTGACACAGTTTCAAAGTAAATTCATTGGTAAAATAATGTTTTTTATGACTTTTTATCGGCAAAGATTCTCAGTCCTAGGTATTACTGGACTACAAAAATTATAAATGTTTGCCTACTAATTCGAGCACGGTTCCTACCAATTTGTAGAAGAGTCTTCGACTAATATTAAAAAAATAAACTTCACTATGTCACGGGTGATAATGTGCATCATTGTTGTGTACTACAGTTTTCCAATAGGTAAGATACTTCAACTACGCCGCTGGCGTAGAGGAAATATCTCACCTAATGGAAAATTGAGAAGCGCTTTAACCTCACAATATAAAGTATCGTTTTCACTGCCACTGCTAATATAAGCTATTGCTTAACATTGCTGACTGAAGACCAATAGGGACCAAAAAGCCGCTTTTGGTTTTGATGGGAATATTCAAAAAAACGTTGAGGAATGATCGTCAACCTTGAAGTATCACTATAGAACCTTAGCGGACAGTTGTGAGATTACCCAGAACTTGAAAAACTTGGATTTAACGCGGCTTATGCTGCTCAGAAATATTCTATCACTTTAAAGTTTTATTTCCTTAAAACATTCAAACAAGCAGATTCAGAAGCGCTCCAGCTGAATTAAGACCAACAACATTTTGTCTACGGGGCATGCCTTTTGCTACTAAATTATTAGGAGATTTAGTTACTTTCGCCATATTAACGAGCCACACATCATATTGTATCAGTGAATAATCTTTAAGCTAAAAAGTGCTTTTTTTACCTTCTTTTCTGAAGCTGCACGTGCTACAAAATTCTGCGCGTTGATACGTTAAAGCAAATTTGTAAATTTTTTAAAAAGTGCTTAGGCAATTTATTCGTTATGCTAGCACAGTGTCTTCGCGCCAAATGAGTGTTTTTAAGGAGAGAAGAGATTGAAGCTGTCGCTTGGTGCTCATTTTGACTAAGTCCCCAAGTGAGGGGATTTCTGGTATTTAAGAGGTAAACGGAGGGTAGTCTTGTGAGAAGAGTGTGGAGAGAGACCATTAAATTCTGCGATTTGTCTTTAGTAGTAACGGGTATATCCACCAATTGCTGCAAAATTTATTGTAAAGGGAAGGCAGTTGTCATTTATTTACCAGCGCGATGCCATTTAATGGAAAATAAGGTATAGAGCAGAAAACCAGAGTATTTTAAACTTATAATTCTAAATAATTATATCACTAAAAGCACTATTTCTCCTACTTTAGAGATGTGGTTTATAACATATCTGCCGAGAGCTTCAAAGAAATAGGATCTGTCGAATGGCCGTCCAAAAAAGAAGATAGGAATGAGTGCTTGAAAAAGGGTAGGCCCGAGGTAAATGTGGTGCGGTAAAACCGTCATATAATCAAACTTGTAATATTGTGAAACATAGTATCGGTAAGCTGTTCAAGATTATGTACAAGCGAAAGAACTGTTTTGTGTTTCTCTAGATATGGATGAAGTAAGACAGCCAGACGTAAAAATTGAAAGTTTTCAACATTTTACTCGTCGGAAAGCGAGTTTAGCTATCAGAAATCAAAAGCAGACTGAAATAGCTGTCAGTCACTTGAAAAGCTGATATTTCCAAATTAACTGTTATGTTCAATGGTAATTGACTCTAATATTTAACACGCTTACTGAAATACATATTTTATTACCTGGTTTAAGCAGAGTATACTTACTTGTTTAGTATGACTGACAAATGAAATTGATTATTTTGGAGTTAGAACGATTTATTGCAAGAATATCTCTTTTTTCAGACATAAAAATTGATGAAAAACTACTGTTTTTTTTGGCTTTCGGCTGCATTTACCAAAAGAGTAAATTGCCCACTTGGTCTTTTTTTGAAAAATGTGAAGTTAAGACAAGTTCTACAAGTTTATTTAAAAATTATCAGATTTTAAAACAGCCATTTTAAATTTGTCGTAAATGTTGTTCAAATTCTACTGGACAAACTGAACTTTACATAAAGAATGTAGCAATAGTAACTTTCAATTAAACCAGACAGAAAGCTCGAGCTTTACAATGGGGTCACAATATAAGATGTGTTCATGAATCTTTTTTGAGATTTTAGATGCTTCAGTACCACAGTCTTAATTTTTGATAACTACTATCCTTTAGCCTGCTATTCCCCAATAGCTATGTGTGGAATATACTTGAAACAAAGTAGGGAAACTAAAAATTCAAAATTTTTTAATGTTGCGCAATAAGTGCTTTCTCTAGGAGGAATGTCATAACTATATACGAGTGTTAGCTGAGAACGAATTTTCTGGTATTTTGATTTGTGGGACTAATTCTTTCAAACCAATTTGTCGCCTGTATGAATGTGAAGAAGGTAAATGCGAGAAGACTTCTCAGTTTTCTGGCGTGGGACTTTCACCATACAGTCCGAATTACTGTACAACATTTATTCGCGACGGTGCTTTCCTGTACACAGGATCAGGTTAGATTTTTTCACTCTCTAGAGCTGAAATTTTTGATGCAATTTTGAAACTTAATTGAGCCACAATGAATATCGTAGTAGAAACTGTTACTTAATCGCAACTTGTTTTTCGTTATGCTTGACTACATACAAGTAGAAGACGTCCTTCCTTTTCTAACTTTTTTCGCTCTTTTACGAAAAGACGCAAGCACTAAGATAAAAAATCAAGCTGGTATGTTACCTTTGCAAGGTTCTGCAAGCGCTGACACTGTAGTTAGCTGCAGATGCTCACATTTATCAGATGCAGTCCCTTTGCAAATCAGTTGGGAGACTACCAAGAGTACTGGTAGATGGCATTTTTTGGAAAAGATATGAAGTATGCAAAACAAAATTTTTTCAATAATTTTCAAAACGACAGATACTTTCGACGGTTTATTAAATTTTAAGAAGAAATAAAATAAAATTATGATGTGAAAGCGAATACTAAGTGCTTTCGACTGGAACTAATTAATAAAAAGCATTTTTTGAGAGAAAACAACTGCTCGAAGGTACATGAAAACAATGTTAGCCTTACATGAATGTTTTTTAATTTTAATGTACAAAGCAGTACAAAAAAACCTCTTAATTTCAAAAATAAAGCGTGAAAATTTAACTGCAACAGACCTAGGACTACGCTGGATAAGCAGTTGCCAGACAAAAACGAGGTGCTCGTACTGCTCAGTCTAATTTGAGGCTTAGTGGCGATGAGATGTCCGCCATAAACTGCAACGTCGCAATTTTCACTCTTAAATGCGGTTGTTTTAGGGGAGGCCAGTTTCGCCTCGGGAAGCTGTTAGCTAACACAGTTTTAGAACCATTATTTTCCTAATTCTACCAATTTTGTCAGTACAAAAGCGATGGTCTCTTGCCATATGCAGCAAAGACATTTCTTAAAAACAGAGTTTTTTCCCAGAATAAAGATTTGGGACATACTTCAGCCATCAATACCAAATGCCTCAAGAAAAGCAAAATAATAATCCACTTTTTAAAGTGTTTGATGTAAAGGCCAGATTCAAATTAAGCATCAAAGCTATAAAAAGTTAGCGTCTTTACTTTTGTGAGAACAAAGCCCTACAACATTTAAGGTTTTGTGGAAGTAATTCTAGTAGATTATTGCTGGGTATAGTGAACAACTTTGGATGGCTATTAAAGCCCATGTGGAGCAGGTAATGAAGATGTTTGAATAAAAGGTCTATTCAATAAAACATTAAATTCTCCTTACTTTTCAAACTTCCCTCATTGAGTTTTTTGTGCATATGTCCAAGAAATATTTTCAGTATAGAGACTTTATTCCTGCAAGCAGTATAAGTAGCTATTACTTTATTTTTAGCATCTGATCACGATGGAAATGATAAGTTAATATACCGGAAAAACTACACTGACCACTTGGACTTCGGCATTCGAACGGTTTCACAAAAGGACACTTACATAGGGAATGCATGCTTTGTGGGCTCGTTCAAAGATGATAAGGTCACCAAAATTTCATTGACCAAAAAACCTAGCATACGTTGCAATTTAAAACACACCGTTTACGGTTCATTTTCTTCAAACTAAAAAAAGTTCAAACAAGGCTGAGAGAGACAGCTTAAAAAGCTATTGTTCAGTTGCGGTTAAAATCTCAAAAAGCGATCAACTGAAGCAAAAAAAAACAATCTTCAAAAGAAGTGGAGCTGAAAAACTTGCTAAATAATAATGATAAAAGTTGGAAGCAAGATGGTGATTTATAGCACGCGTATTTCTGGTTTTACGAAGATGACCAAGCCAAGTCGCAAGTGCATTCTGCAGTCGGTAGAATATGTCGGTCTGATATGGGTGGTCCGCGACCGTATCAAAACGTTTGGACGTCGTTTGTGAAAAGTCGTTTAAAATGTTCAAATTTTGACAAGGTAAATGTCTTATAAACTTTT